GCTCCTCTCTTTGAAAAAGTAAAAGAAAAATTCTTTCTTTGGTATACAATCCCCCCACACCCCTCCCACCACCCCAGGTACACTCCACTATGCACCCTTAATTCTGGACTCTTGTGATAACTATAATACCCTATCATATATCGCTTTTAAATTATTCTCTCCCTCATCTGTTTCAATGCCGTACACATAATTTATCCAGTTTTTCCTCAGTCTTGTTTTTTAAAAAAAGGGAGAATTGATCTTTTGTGGCTAACGGTCATGGAAAGGGAGAGGGAGGGGAGTAAAACAATAAACAACTAAACTGGGTGAAGGGAAAAGTAATACACAATAAGGCATTGATTGTTGTTCTTGTTAGGTGCCAACAGGTTGTCTGCGACTCACAGCAAGTGTATTATAGCTCTGAACCTTGCCCTATCCTGAGCCAGTCTCACTGTTTCTGGCACACTTAATCCCATTGCCCCAGTTATGGTGTCAGTCATCTGGGGTCTTCCTCTCCTGCACTGTCCCTCCACCCCCTACCCTTTCAAGCAAGATGTCGTTCTTCAAGTATTGGTCCCTCCTGGCGATGCACCCAAAGTATGTGAGGTGGAGCTTCAAAATCCTTGCTTCCAAGGAGCAACTTGGTTTCACTCTCTCCAAGACAGATCTGTTTGTTCCCTTGGCCGTCCATGGTATGTTCAAGACTCTTCTCTAGAACCACAACTCAAAGGCATCAGTTCTTCTGTCATCCTTATATGTTGTCCAGCTCTCTTATATATAGCAACTAAATGTGAAGACTATGGCCAGAATCAGGCACACCTTAGTCTATAGACTGACATAATTGCTTTTTAGGACTTTGGAGCAGACAGCAGATTTCCCTAATTTAATTCATCTTTTGATTTCCTGACTGCTGGTGCCAAGAGTGTTGATTGTGGAGCCAAGCAAGCTGAAATTGTTAACAACCTTAATCTCTTCTCCATCTACCATGGTGCTGCCAATTGGCCCAGTGGTGAGAATCTTTGTCTTCTTGATGTTGAGCTTCAATCCATTTTGAAGACTATAGTCCTTGACCTTCTGCAGTGAATGCTTCAGGTCCTCCTTGGTTTCAACAAGCAAGGTTGTGCCATTGGCATAATGCAGGTTGTTGATGAATCTTCCTCCAATCTTGATGCTACATTCTTTAGCGTAAAGTCTAGCATTGCGGATGATCTGTTCTGCATATAAATTGAAAAGGTATGGAGACAAGACACATCCCTGACACACTCATTTCCTGATTTTGAACCATGTAGTGTTTTCTTGATCTGTTTGTGTGACTGCTTCCTGATCTAAGTATACATTTCGCATGAGTGCAGTCAATGGCAGTTGATGTTAAATAACAAAATATTTGAGTGATTGTGTGAAAAACCATATGATTTGTAAACTTTCACTCAAATAAGATTTTTTTTAAAGTATATGAATACTGTTTATATCTCCTGTTAGTTATACTACCACCTGGGGCTGCTATTCACTCAGATTGGCTGTCAATTTAAGTTACTTAATATTTTTACTTAGAAGACGGACACTCTTGAAAATAATTTTATTCCCTGAAATGGAAAGAAAATGCTTGGTACTTGGCTAATGATTATAAATCGATGGGCAAGTGAGAAATGTAGTTGACTGTTATTTACACAAAGGGTCAATTTAAGTATTTTGTCATGTTTTTATTTATTGTTTTTATTTCTCCATGCCTTGTTTTCACTCTCTAGGACTAACGTAAATTTTAAACTGTTTGGACTAACACTGTTTTGTTTCAGCATGGTGGAGAGCTTTATTTCAGTGATGTCTATGCCAGCTTTGAAATGACAGAAGAAATCAGGACACACAAAGTTTTATGGGGTAGGATTTTTTTTTCTTTAAACGCAGATGTTTGTTCATGTACAGATTTCATTCTGCTTATAGCCAGCAAGGTTTCTATCTGTTGTTCGTAGTGTTGCGATGAGTTGTAGTTGACTCAAAGTCATGTAACAACCAGCATGAGGTTCAATGATAAGGGAAATATATGGTTTAAGAATCAAAGGCTTTTTGAGTTCTTGTCCTCCTCTGCCACTTCCACAGTGATGAATGCTTTGACAGTCTAATTAATCTCTTGGTCATTGTTTTCCAAACTGCAAAATGTAGATAAGAAAGCAACCTATCTTATAGGGCTGATAGGGTGATTACACCAGTAAGAAATATGATAAATACTTTGAAAACCACTATGTGGAAATTAAGGCAACTGTTCTCCTATTAATTTTCTGAGAGTCTCATTATCATTTATTCCTGTATTGTTATTTGGATAATGCCTCTTTTGGTTGAGGAGATAAATGTATGTATATTAACAATCTGACTGTGAAATGACAAGTTTTCACGTTTAAAGTACATGATCAACTTTTTTGCTATTATACCAGAATATGTAGAGAGTGTTAAAAACTTGAATTAAAAAAAGAGAGAAAAATAACCATAACCCAGATTCACTAGGTTCATTATCATAACTTCTTTCACGTTACTATGTATCTTTCTAAGCTTTTTATTTTTCTGTGAATATATATAATAAAATAAAAGCGTGTGGTATAAGGAGTTTAGAATTCTACATTTTAATGTATTTCATTGGGGCTAGTCTTTATAAGAAGATACCATGTTGGGAAAGATGGGGTCAGAAGAAGAGAGAAAGATCCTCCACAGGGCGGACTGACAGTGACTATAACAGAGGGCGGGTGAGGGTAGAGCAATAGGGCAAGGTTCAGACCTGTTGTTTACAGGGTCGCTATGAGTCACAGTTACTCAGTGATGCCTAACAGCAAGAAGTGTATTTCCTAAGACTAAATTTTAAAAAACATTTAAAAATGTTTATATTATAGAGTTGTGTTGTTATACAGCTGTGCCATTCTTTGACTTTTCCTCTTTTGGTGATAATTAGGCTGTTTCCAGCATGTCAATGTAATAAATAAATGTATGATCATATTTATATTTAAAAACAAACATAAGCCTGTAAAGTGCCTTGCATTATAGTAGTTGTTTTGCTTTAGTAGCGGCTCTTTGGTTTTTTGGTTTTATTTTATTTTATTATTTTTGTGTGTGTATCTTCAAATGACAGTTACAGGAGGAGATTGCCCCTCTTTCTCCAGCAGAGCATCTGGTGGATTTGAACCACGTACTTCTGGGATTGCAATGCAGCTTCTTGCCACTAGGTCACCAGAGCTCCCTAGTAGCAGCTCTTTGTGAGAGTAATCTGGAGCTAAGAAGCAACTTTGCAATTTGTCTTTTATACATTTTTATTCAAGTAGGAAAGCAGAAATATTTTTCAAAATGTATATATTCATATTTTTCTAACAGCTGATTGGAGCCCATATATCCGTGACTGTCCTAAAGAGAAGTTCCCAGAGCCCCTTCGCTTACAAACTCCTGTTTTAAACATGACTGTTAGACTCTGGAGGATGATGTGGTCGGCTGCTATTTCTAGGACCTACGTTTTCATTTCACTTCATTTCAGTTTGGGCATGTTCTCAGGAGAGGTCAGTCGTTGGAAAAAGACATCACGATGGGAAAGACAGAGTCAACAAAAGAGAGGAAGACCCTCAACAAGATGACCTGATACAGTGAGGGCAGCAATGAGCTTGAGTGTGACAGACTGTGGAGATGGCCAGTGACCCGAAGGATCACAACATTCCACTCCCCAAGCCAGCATGGGAATGATGCGGGCCCTCACAGCGTTTTGTTCTGGTTCTACAGCAGCTAGTGTGTTTTAACAGATGTCTTGATCAAAAAGAAGGGAGCTCTGCAGGACTGGCTACGGAATTGCTCTGACAACCCAAGGGCAGGGAGTTTAGATCTACCAGCTGCTCAGAGTTTGCAGAAAGATGAGCGGTTTCTTTCTGTGTGGTTTACAACTTCTGAAAACTCGCTGGTGGGGCAGCAAAGAGTTGGTTCTTTCTCTATGGTATATAACAATAGCAACAATAAAAAAGATAACATTTGGTTACTGGAGAGGAAACAGAAGAGAGAAAGACCTTAATGAGAAGGATTGACATAGTGACTTCAACAATGAACTGAAGCATGGTGGAGTTTATGAAGGTAACATAGGAGAGGGCAAAGTTTCCATCTGTTGTTCATAGAGTTGTGATGAGTTGTAGTTGACTCAAAGGCAACTACCAATTATATAAAAGAGCTTTTCCATTAATACCTGTTTGTCTTGGCTTACTGCTCAATGATTTTCCTTTCCTTCTTTTTTTTTTTTTCTTCAAGGTGAATGCCTTGGTGGTGCTTTGTACTGGAAGGATCTTGCCATTCTTGCTCAAAAAATTGGGTTCTGCCCTCCACGTTTGGTCACTGCCAACCTGATTACAATTGAAAACAAGGAACTGGAAAGAGTTCTTGGTAAGAAACAAGAGCAGGCTCTATATAGCAGCAACTGGAGCGGTCCAAATCCAGTGACATTGAAGGGTGTGCTGAGTGAGAATTTGTATCTTCTAGAAATAATCATCTTGTCTCCTGTAAAATGACAGCACACACACTCACACCCAAATAAAGTTTGGTATTCTAAAGTTACTCAGGAAATAAGATAAAGTGTTCAGAAAGATATTTGGTGGTGTACAGTAAGAAAATAATCTTTATAGTATTTTGCTCCTTATTTGCTGAGCAGGTGTGAGACCCTCCAGGAACAACAGTCGGAGTTCTGGAGATAAACCATAAGTAAATTTCATTTCTAGGGGACTGTCGTTTTGTTTCTGCAACATATCGCCTCTTCAAACTCCCTAAGACAGGACCAGCGGAAAGATGTCAGGTTATTTACAAAGGAGGAATCACGGGACATGAAAAACAACTAATATTTGATGCAAATTTCACATTTAAGGTAAGTAAGATTTCTATAAGGTAAGGTAAGTAAAATTTGAGACTGCTTCCTATGCTTGATTCATAGCGACCCTATGAACAATAGACCTAAGCTTGCCTTACTCCATTCCTACCGCACCATCTCCACCGTACCCGAGTCCATTGTTGCCATTGTTGCATTCACTGTGTTCATCTATCTTGTTGGGGGTCTTCCTCTCTTTCTCACACCCCACACCTTTCCCAGCATGATATCTTTTCCCAAAGACTACCCCCTCCTGACAGTATGTGCAGCGTATGAGGCAGCTTCCCCATTCTTACCTCTGAGGGCACCTTGGTCCCGTTTCTGTAGGTCTGGTTTTCCTTTTGGACCTCATATTGCTTCCTACTTCTCAGATATTGACTAGTTCGCTTGAGGACATGTTTTTTTTTTTTCAGATTTTTTTTTTTGAGGACATGTTTTTTAAAGTGAGGTGGAAAGTTCTTTTTTAGTAGATTCCAACTCATAGTGGGCCCCTTGTCTGCAGAGTAGCACCACTCCATGGTGTTTTCAAGGCTTGAAAGCAGATCTCCAGGCCTGTTTTCTGAGGGGCCTCTGGGTAGAGGTTGAGTGCTTATGCAATCCAACAACTCCCGAGCAGAGATTAGACACTGCAGTAATGATTTTTCCCTCAAAGTTGCCATCAAAGGAAGACAAAATGATTAATTCTAACAGGAAATAGGCCTGAAATTCAAAGTAGCATCTGAACATGAGAGTGTACTATGTCTAAAAGTTTTGTCTTTTATTCTGAAATGTCAGTCTTTAGTAAACTTGTGGACATTTTTGTTCTGTTGAGATGAAATTGGCATCTCTTAATAAATGTTTTTTCATATTACTGTCCAGGAAGGTGATACTGTTGACGTAGATGGAGAAACAGCAGCTGTCTTGAAGAATTCACGATTTGCGCCAGCTTTCCTGATCAGAACAATTGGAGAGGGCCTGCCACCATCTGGAAATTGTTCTGCTTTCAAATCTAAGGTTTGCTGACTTTCAGTTCTATGTTTTATAGAATTGTTTCAAAAATTATCATGCTGACTGGTGGTGGTTCTTCACTGTTACATTTGTGAATGTCATTAATGCCACTAAATCATTCCTTTAAAAATTATTTAAAAATTAAAAATTATTAGAGCATTTTTTAACCTTTTTATTTATTTTTTACAGCATATTCTTCCCATTTAGTTTTTTTCTTCTTCATTCATTGTTGCACATTTTCCTCCCTGCTGACCCCTCTCCCCAGTTTGTTTTTCTTTTTGAAAAGAAAAAAAGAAAAATTCTTTCATTGGTATACAGTCCATTTTAGTATGCATTTCTTTTTCTGGAATCTTGTTATGAAAATAATACCTAATCATATATTCCTTTTAAATAGTTCTCTCTCCCTCTCCCTCTCCCTCTCTCTCTCTCTCTCTCTCTCTCTCTCTCTCTCGCATCTGTTTCAGTACAGTATATACACATTATTTCCCTCCTCTTTTCATAGGTTCACCCCAACCCCCACTATGCAGTATTTCTCCTTTTGTGACTGAGATATTTTACTCAGCATAATGTCCTCCAGGGTCACTCATTTTGAATAATATTGCATGAGTCCCTTGTTTTTCAATGCAGCATAGTATTCCATTGTGTGAATATACCACAGCTTCCCTATCCATTTGTTTGTTGATGGTTGTTTTCAACTCTGCTATTGTGAACAAAGCTGCAATAAACATGGGTATGCATATATCTACTTGGGTGGCAGTTTCTTTAGGGTATATTCCCACTAGTGGAATTGCTGGGTCAAATGGTATTTCTATTTCCAACTTTTTGAGAAAGTGTCATACTGCCTTCCATAGTGGTTGTACCATTTTACACTCCTACCAACAGTCAATAAGGGTTCCAGTTTCTTCACAACCTCACCAGCATTTGTTTGCTGCTCTGTTGAATTTTGCTATTGTTACTGGGGTGAGATGATATCTCATAGTTGTTTTGATTTGCATCTTTCTTAGAGCTAGGGATTTTGAACACTTCTTCATGTGTTTGCCATCTGAATGTCTTCTTTGGTGAAGTGTTTGTTCATATCCTGTGCCCATTTTGCAATTGGATTATTTACCTTAATCTTGTGGTGCTTGAATATTCTATAAATTCTAGATCTAAGTCCCTTATCAGATAAGTCATTGCCAGATATTTTTTTCCCAGTCGGTGGCTTCCCTTTTTACCCTGTTGGGGAAGTTTTTGGATGTGCATGGGGATTTGATTCTTAGAACGTCTCATTCATCTATTTTATCCTCTCCTGGTTGTAGAAAAATGGGCATTTTTAATATATGTTGTTGTGTACTATCGAGTTTGAACCGACCATAGTTCCATCTGGTTTTCAGAGGCAGTTAATTGCACAAGAGGAGATTGCCCATCCTTCTCTCACTCAGCAGCTGGCAGGTTCAAACTGCATGCTTTCGGAATTGCAGCACAGATTATTTCCACTAGGCCCCCAGAGCTCCCTAGTATTATCACTATAAAAAGTTAATAATGAGGGGAGCTCTGGTGGCATAGTGGTAAGGAGCTGCAACTACAATCCCAGCTGCGCACGGTTCAAATCCACCAGATGCTCTGCTGGGGAAGGAGGGACAATCTCCTCCTGTACCAGTCAGATCTGATTTGATGGTACACTCACACAAAAATAATAAAATAAAATAAAAATTAAAGAAAAAGGTACAAGGCAAAAAATTGCTTTAAAAAAAAAAGTTAAGGGGAGCTCTGGTGGCTTAGTGGCAAGAAACTGCACTGCAATCCCAGAGGAACACGATTTGAATCCACCAGATGCTCTGCTAGAGAAGGAGGCGCAATATCCTCCTGTACCAGTCAGATCTGATTTGACGGTACACGCACACAAAATAATAAAAAAATTAATAATGAAAAAAGAAGAAAGTTATTCATGCATCCATTAAGAAAAGGGAGGAAAAAAAGACTAAAAAATTATTTTATTTTGCGTGAGTATAATTCCTCTTGATTTATCATACATTCATAGATATATTGTTTTATAATATTAATTGCCATTGCAATGAATTAATTACGTCTGCTCAGTTCCTTATTGTCGACTTTTTCCTTTTGCTCAGCTTATCTCTTTGTTACTTTTTATTCCCCTTTCCCTCCCTGTCACCCCTTTAAGATTGATCTGGGTATAAACCTTTCTTTAGCTTTTGATAATGATTGACTCATTGCTGTCGAGTTGGATCTGATTCATAGCTGACCCTCCAGTAAGCTTTCAGAGGCTATAAATAAACACGCAGGAGGAGATGGCCCCTCTTCCTCTCTCAGAGCAGTTAGTAGATGTAAATTTACATTTGTGTTGGGAACACAACTCCTTACCCACTAGGCCATCGGAGTTCTCATTAAATAAAAGCCAGCTTACTACCATTGAGTCCGACTCAGCCGAACCTTCAGCAGGTTTTCAGAGGCTATAAATCACATGGGAGGAAGTGAACCATTTCTCTTCTGAAGATCAGCTGGAGGATTCAGATGCCCTTTCCCTAGGGTTGGCAGTGTAACTCTGTACCCACTAGGCCACCAGAGCTAGTCTGTCTATATTTTTTTCCTTTCTTGTTGTGTACCATTGAATCAGATCTGACTGGCACAGGAAGAGGTTGCCCCTCCATCTCCAGCAGAGCATCTGGCGGATTTGAACGGCAGTGCAGCTTCTTTGCCAGGAGGCCCCCAAAGCTCCTGTCAGAGCGAGGCTTATACCATAATTGTCCTTTTGTAACTGACTTAGGTCACTCAGCATAATTTGTTTTAGATTCATCCATGTTGTGCAGTATTTAATGAATTATTTTTTTAAGTATTCTTTTTTAAAATTCATTATTAATTTCATTGAAAATTTACAGAGAATTCATTGTTGCACTTTTCTCTCCTCCCAACCCTCCCACCTAGTATACTACCTTCTTGGAAAAGTAAAAGAAAAATTCTTTCATTGTTTTACAGTCCCTCCCCCCAGGTCTACTCCACTATACAGCCTTCACTCTGGACTCCTGTTATGACAAAAATACCTAATAATTTTTCCTCTTCAACAGTTTTTTCCCTCATCTGTTTCAATCAGTGTACATCATTGAACCCATCCTTCTCAGTCTCCTCCCAACCCCGAGGTCAGTCCTGCTTTACAACATTGGACCCATGTAGTATTTGTCCTTTTGTGACTGAGGTACTTCACTCAGCATAATGTCCTCCAGAGTCACCCATTTTGAATAATACTGCATGAGTCCCTTATTTTTCAGTGCAGCATAGTATCCCACTGTGTGAATATACCACAGCTTCTCTATCCATTCGTTTGTTGATGGGCACTTAGGTTGTTTCCAACTCCTTGCTGTTGTGAGCAAAGCTGCGATAAACATGGGTGTGCATATATCTGCTTGGATGTCAGTTATTGTCTCTTTGGGGTATATTCCCAGTAGTGGAATTGCTGGGTCAAATGGTATCTCTATTTGCAACTTTTTGAGAAAGTGCCATACTGCCTTCCACAGTGGTTGCACCATTTTACACTCCCACCAACAGTGAATAAGGGTTCCAATTTCTCCACAACCTCGCCAGCATTTGTTGCTTGCTGTTCTGTTAAATTTTGCTATTCTGACTGGGGTGAGATGATATCTCATAGTTGTTTTGATTTGCATTCCTCTTAGAGCTAGGGATTTTGAACATTTCTTCATGTGCTTGTTGGCTGTCTGAATGTCTTCTTTGGTGAAGTGTCTGTTCATATCCTGTGCCCATTTTTCTATTGGATTATTTACCTTTATCTTGTTGTGGTGCTCAAGTATTTTATAAATTCTGGATATAAGTCCCTTATCTGATATGTCATTACCAAATACTTTTTCCAAGTCTTTGACTTCCCTTTTTACTCTGGTGGAGAAGTTTTTGGATGTGCAATGAATTCTTGATCATTTTTTGAATAATGCATAATACTTTTTTGTGTGAATGTTCCATGATTTCTTTAGCCACACACACACACACATATTTAAAAATGGGTATCTATAAAATTATTAGAATTGGTTTTGGTTTTGTGGGTTCCTTTTTTCAATCCTGGCAATAAATTTCCAATTTAATATATCTATGGACTCTAATGCATCCAGGAGCCCTTTAAATTATGTGAAAAAATGAGTGTATATCCGTATATACGCGGAAGAAGGATGGGCAATCTCCTTCTGGGTGATTAACTGCTGCATAAAACCAGCCGGGGGTCATGCTCACTCTTCTTGAGAAATGTGCTATTATTTTCTCTAGATTCTCAAAGGGTCTTATCCTTAGTTGCTATAGAGTTAATTTTAACTTTTGATGAACCTTTGTGGACAGTATAGATTTTAAGATGTCTGTTATACACATGTATTTTTAAATCTTTTAATTAAATTGAACTCCAGAAAGATTGTGGAAATCTGCATACCTACCTGTAACACATGAAAATACCTTTTCCCTGTTCATAGGCATTACATTTTTCTGTTTGTTTGATAGATAAAAGCCAGATTTGTTGTTTTACTTTGAAGCTGTTGAACATTTTTGGTATATTTATGGATCATTTCTTTTTATATCATATGTTTATTGACCGTGTATACTTACATTATCTATGATAAGCTTTCTATTTAGTTAGTTCAGCCATTTTCCACTAAAGTGTGCAGTAGCCTTTGTAAAATGCTTATGTTCTTTCATGGTATGTTTAGAATTGTTATAACATGCCATGCATCTCAGGTCTGTCCCATTCCATTGATTCCCACCCCCCTAAAATGCATATATCTTATACTTTCTTTTATCCTGAAAGACTAAAAACTCCCTTCAGGTTAAAGTTGCTATGAATGTAAAGCATTTAAAAATATACAAGCTATTTCTAAAACCTAGTTTTTGTTTCATTGCAGTCTTTATTTTCGGTTTGCTTGATTTTGTTAGTCCACACAGTTATATCAGTTTTGTGAACAGTTAGGATCATCTTGTAGGATAAAGTTGTTTTGTTTTAAATTTTATTTTATTAATTTTAA